CAGTGGTACCTCCGGGGAGTACTCCTCGAGTAAAGACGCTCTCTATCCTTCAGATAGTGCCGCCTCGAACAACAAACGCACGGGCAGTACCCCAGCCACCATCTGTCAGTCCGCATTCAACAACAAGACTTACTTCACCACCAGTAGTACAAAAATGACTGTCAAACGTCAAATTTTGGATATGCCACAACAAATAGCTTATGTGACTCAGCAAGAAGTCAGTCATGTAGTGGCCAGGGATATGACACAACAGGAATTAACATCTGCCAAGCCTCAGGAAGTCAGTCTAACGTTGAAGGATATGGCTCAACATGACCTCCAGACTACGTCTCAGAATATTCGAGAACCCAGTCCTTCAAACAGTCAGACTCTAACAGAAGCTGGGACGAGGGGGATGGACCGACTTATTCAGGCAGCTCGAAATTTCGATGCTCGCCAAAAGGAGAAGCACAATATAACCGTTCAGAAGCAGCGAATCCAAGCAGGCGACCTCCAGGACACACAACTCATACTACAGGCCTCGCCAGAAATGAAGTGCACGCTACAGGAAGTCGGCCAGGGTCAACCATCTTCATCAACTCAGGCAGCATCGTTACAAAAGGACATCCCAATCGCGTCTCCCATGAAGACACATCAGATATTAACAGAAATCTATCCTTGGACGCTAGAAGGGAGCAGACTGAGCACACCATCCCCAGAATTTGCTCAGTTAGTGCAACAGATAACAACAGAGGTTCACAATCCTTCGACGTTGCAGGAGGACAGCCCGGTTCAACAAATAGAGACCAGTCCACCTCAGTTGCCACTAGAGGACTTGATGGATCAACTGTCTTCCTTACAAGAAACTGATCCAACATCACCATATATCAATCCGCCTCGATCACTGCCAGAGGAACTATTTCAGATCTAAAACCTGGATCACTTAGTCAGTCATATAACTCAAGAAACCAACAGCATGCCGACTACACCTCCACGGGAGTCGCACAAACTTCCAGTAGAGATGAATCTTCGTCTCCAACAAGAAATCAGTCCTTCTCCTACCCTGTTAGGCAGTTCATCTCTGCATGCGATGGAAAAGGATCATCTGCCTCCACAACCCATCTGCCACAAAGTCAGTCCTTCTAAATCAGAACCTACAGTCATAGATCCTCAAAAACTCCGTCGACTACAGGGCACCTTATCATGGAAACAACGAAGATGCGGCGATGCAGCAAATCAACCAGAATCGGACATGACATTTGATTCTTTTTATGGCTCACAATGCTAATGGCCATTCGATTTCTGGTATGTGTCACAGTCCTAGACGGCTACCTCCTGGAAGGAGTGTGGATTGTTACTTCTTAAGAACTCCTACCTGCAAGAAAGGGCAGTCGTGGCCGATATCGAGATCCACCGCCAATAAGAACATTCCGGGACGGAATGACTTTACCGAGAGGGCAGTGTGACGATAATAGATAGTACTGTTGGCGCCATCTATTAGGAAACTCTCCTTCTCGTACCAGTGATCTGCGCCTTCTAGATCTCGCCAGGTGACCTCTAAATATTCTAGATGCCGCTTTTGTCGCTCGCCAATACCTCTCTCGAAGCAGCGATTCGGAGTATATATAACTCGACGGCCGGGAGATGGAAGCACGGTGCGGTGTAGCATTAGAGTAGAGCGTTAGTGGAGTGCAATCAATGCGCGGCATAAGAATTAGTTAGACATAAATAGTGGTGTACATAAATGTTCTATCTGGTCAAGTAAAGTAAAGAAAGTGCATTTATTTTTGTGGAATCTCGAGTTTTAATCCACACCAAAAGAATCCGCCTTTTTGATTGCACCAGGTAAGGTATTCTAGAAATATAAGTTAACGAATGCAACAATCCTTCAAAAGGCAACCCTAGCTTAAACTCATACAGATGTCACTCTTTATTGAAAAGTTTAATTCTGGCAATCAATATTTTCGTCTACAGCTTAGACTATGTGTGTGGTGTGGACATGTAATTATATTTTTCAATACAATACATCTGGTAGTAACAAACAGCATGTGACCACAAAGAATACTGCAAAGCTTGATCGTGAGACTGAAGAACTGAACACGAAACATTCCATTGGACGTTGGCAAGTTGATTCAGCAAGGGCGTCAAGCTAAAGGACTCAGACAGAAGGAGTCTTGCTACAAAAATCAATGAGAAACCACAGGTGATTACTGATGAACGGATTGCGAGCAAGAGGGTCAGCGTGTCGCGCGTGCCAGAAGGGCTACATATTTTAAGTTTAATTAAGATTCCCTATTTCCAATACGTTTATATCTTTAGGGGTCAGTGAATACAGTGTCCTCGCACTTAATCGTGGTATTATTGTCTCAGCCGTTACCTTACCCTTGATGGTAGAGAGTCCTCCCCAAAAACAGCTGACTCAAGTCGGGATTATACACTTGTTGCCTCTTGGCCTACTGAGGCAAAAAAATGATTCCACCTGACAACGAACATGTGTTCCACAAAGACAACAAAAACATGACGAGATAATAAATATCCATACGAGCTTGCCAAGTAAAATAAACCTTTGGAAGCTTACGGTCAAAAACAATATACAAAATTTCTTTGTATTGATGAACATTGGTCAGAAAATGATCAAATTTAGTTGCACTTGTATAAATGAATTTTCACTGGTTTGTAGTATTTGCAGATCTAAGAGCAAGTGTGGTGGAACGGCCATCTTTGCCCATGAGTCTATCATCTCCGAGGTCTGTCCTATCCATATTATCAACGAGCTGACGAGCTCTCTTTGGAATCTGTGATTGAATATTCTCCAGTTAAAATTCAACGTTTTTGTCTGATTAATATATATATATATATATAATATGATTAATATATATATATATATATATATATATATATATATTAATCGTTGATAATATGGATAGGACAGACCTCGGAGATGACAGACTCATGGGCAAGATGCCGTTCCACCACACTTGCTCTCAGATCTGCAAATACTACAAACCAGTGAAAATTCACTTATACAAGTGCACTAAATTTGATCATTTTCTGACCAATGTTCATCAATACAAAGAAATTTTGTATATTGTCCTTGACCGTAAGCTTCCAAAGGTCTATTTTACTTGGCAAGCTAGTATGGATATTTATTATCTCGTCATGTTTTTGTTGTCTTTGTGGAACACATGTCCGTTGTCAGGTGGAATCATTTTTTTGCCTCAGTAGGCCAAGAGGCAACAAGTGTATAATCCCGACTTGAGTCAGCTGTTTCTGGGGAGACCTCTCTACCATCAAGGCTAAGGTAACGGCTGAGACAATAATACCACGATTAAGTTGCGAGACACTGTATTCACTGAACCCCTATAGATAGAAACGTATTGGAAATAGGGAATCTTAATTAAAGTTAAAATATGTAGCCCTTCTGGCGCGCGCGACACGCTGACCCTCTTGCTCGCAATCCGTTCATCAGTAATCACCTGTGGTTTCTCATTGATTTTTGTAGCAAGATCCTTCTGTCTGAGTCCTTTAGCTTGACGCCCTTGCTGAATCAACTTGCCAACGTCCAATGGAATGGTTTCGTGTTTCAGTTCTTCAGTCTCACGATCAAGCTTTGCAGTATTCTTTGTGGTCACCATGCTGTTTTGTTACTACCAGATGTATTGTATTGAAAAATATAATTACATGTCCACACCACACACATAGTCTAAGCTGTAGACGAGAATATTGATTTGCCAGAATTAAACTTTGTCAATAAAGAATGACATCTGTATGAGTTTAAGCTAGGGTTGCCTTTTGAAGAATTTGTTGCATTCGTTAACCTATATTTCTAGAATACTTACCTGGTGCATCAAAAGGGGATGGTCTTTTATTCGAAATACATTCAATATATAATCCCTTGTACCGCAGAATATAATGTAGCATTTTTCTGGGTTCTTTTGGGTGTGGATTAAAACTCGAGATTCCACAAAAATAAATGCACTTCTTTACTTTACTTGACCAGATAGAACGTTTATGTACACCACTATTTATGTCTAACTAATTCTTATGCCGCGCCCATTGATTGCACTCCACTCCGCTCTACTCTAATGTACCCCGCACCGTGCTTCCATCTCCCGGCCGTCGAGTTATATATACTCCGAATCGCTGCTTCGAGAGAGGTTTGGCGAGCGACAAAGCGGCATCTAGAATATTTGAGGTCACCTGGCGTAGATCTAGAAGGCGAGTCACTGGTACGAGAAGGAGAGTCTCCTAATAGATGACGCCAACAGTACTATCTATTATCGTTCACACTGCCCCTCGGTAAAGTCATTCCGTCCCGGAATGGTCTTATTGGCGGTGGATCTCGATATCGGCACGACTGCCCTTTCTTGCAGTAGGAGTTCTTAAGAAGTAACAATCCACACTCCTTCCAGGAGGTAGCCATCTAGGACTGTGACAACATACCAGAAATCGAATGGCCATTAGCATTGTGAGCCATAAAAATATCAAATGTCATGTCCGATTCTGGTTGGATTTGCTGCATCGCCGCATCTTCGTTGTTTTCCATGATAAGGTGCCCTGTAGTCGACGGAGTTTTTGAGGATCTATGACTGTAGGTTCTGATGGAGAAGGACTGACTTTGTGGCAGATGGTTGTGGAGGCAGATGATCCTTTTCCATCGCATGCAGAGATGAACTGCCTAACAGGGTAGGAGAAGGACTGATTTCTTGTTGGAGACGAAGATTCATCTCTACTGGAAGTTTGTGCGACTCCTGTGGAGGTGTAGTCGGCATGCTGTTGGTTTTTTGAGTTATATGACTGACTAAGTGATCCAGGTTTTCGATCTGAAATAGTTCCTCTAGCAGTGATCGAGGCGGATTGATATCTGGTGATGTTGGATCGGTTTCTTGTAAGGAAGACAGTTGATCCCTCAAGTCCTCTAGTGGCAACTGAGGTGGACTGGTCTCTATTTGTTGAACCGGGCTGTCCTCCTGCAACGTCGAAGGATTGTGAACCTCTGTGTTATCTGTTGCACTAACTGAGCAAATTCTGGGATGGTGTTGCTCAGTCTGCTCCCTTCTAGGTCCAAGGATAGATTTCTGTTAATATCTGATGTGTCTTCATGGGAGACACGATTGGGATGTCCTTTTGTAACGATGCTGCCTGAGTTGATGAAGATGGTTGACCTGTCCGACTTCCTGTAGCGTGGCACTTCATTTCTAGCGAGGCTGTAGGATGAAGTTGTGTGTCCTGGAGGTTGCCTGCTTGGATTCGCTGCTTCTGAACAGTTATATTGTGCTTCTCTCTTTTGGCGAGCATCGAAATTCCGAGTTGCCTAATAAGTCGGTCCATCCCCCTCGTCCCAGCTTCTGTTAGAGTCTGACTGTTTGAAGGACTGGGGTTCTCGAATATTCTGAGACGTAGACTGGAGGTCCTGTTGAGCCATATCCTTCAACGTTAGACTGACTTCCTGAGGCTTGGCAGATGTTAATTCCTGTTGTGTCATATCCCTGGCCACTACAATGACTGACTTCTTGCTGAGGTCACATAAGCTATTTGTTGTGGCATATCCAAAATTTGACGTTTGACAGTCATTTTTTGTACTACTGGTGGTGAAGTAAGTCTTGTTGTTGAATGCGGACTGACAGATGGTGGCTGGGGTACTGCCCGTGCGTTTGTTGTTCGAGGCGGCACTATCTGAAGGATAGAGAGCGTCTTTACTCGAGGAGTACTCCCCGGAGGTACCACTGGTATAGGAAGAGTGACCACGTTACTGGAATTGGAGATACTACCGCTTTGCTTCTCAGAACTGATTTGGAACTGGATCCCTGATGTTCCCTTGGCTGAGGCAGACTGACCTCCTTGGCCGTAGTTTTTACTAGGCTTGGCCGCAGGTACTTCTGCCTGGAGTTCTGGGAATGTTGATAGTAAACTGGTTTCCTGAAATAGGCATGGCTGATGCTGAGCCAAGGTAATCACCTTGGGTTGCAGAATGTTGGCTCGCTGTTTGGAAGGTGTCACTGCTGTTGATGCTTTGCTGGTCTGGGGTAAAACACGCTTGACTTTTTGCGATTATTAATTCTGAGCTGGTTTCCCCGAGGTTGAGGTACATCCGCTGTACTGAGCCACACAGGTGTTTTCACTCGTAGTAATAGTGGTTTCCTTGTGGTGGCTGGGCTGAGGATCCGTAATTTTGTCGTTCCTTACAGGCTGAGGTGTACTCGGTCCTTTTGAGGTGTTGGGTTGAGTGTCGTGAACTTGCAGAGTCTTGCTGATTGGTTGTGGGCTTATCAAAACTTTGTGGTATCGTGTTGCGTACCAACTGCTGGCCGATAGCTGGCGTTTGAGACTGAGTTTCCACTGAAGTTATTGGATGTGAGTCTTGAATCTTGGGAGACAGTGTGCTTGGACGTGGTGCGGATTGAAGCAGCGGAGGGATAGCTCCTACTTGCGAATTCACTGGTGCCACCCTCGTTGATTGGGTTTTCCAGCACTGGTTGCGTTTGCGAGAGCGCAGCAGTAATTTCTGTTCCAATGAGAGCGCAGTACTTGGTTTCTTTCTGGGAGCTTGGAGGTACTACCTTGATTTGATGAGTTGACTTTGATGATTTTAGTATCAGAGGCGTATGCTTCCGCGTAATGGTTCTTGGTTGACTTCGTGCGGGTATTGAGCAATGACCTGAGACATTTTTATTCTTTCCTTGGGTATGCTTATGAGAACTTTCTTCTGAGAGCTGCTGATATCCAGATTTATCTGGATGAACTGAACGAGAGCCTGTTTTGTGTTTCTTTGTTCAATGTTTGTTCTGTTGGTTTACAGATACTATCTCTTGAGAGGTTGTTGCTCCATGGATTCTTTTTCTGTTTCTGATGTAATTTTTTTAATATATCCTTTAGAGTTATTTTCATTACTTTCATTTCCTTTGCCACTTGCCCACGAAGTTGGCGCAATGTGGCAAGTTTTACGTTTTTTGACTCATCTGTGGCTGTCGAAGTCGAAGGCTGAGGTTCGCTAGAAGAAGGCTTGAACTGTTTTTCAGGCGTGCCTTCGTCGAATCCTTATCCTTGTGCCTTTTAATGCCGGTCTAAATTCTCTCAGGGTTTTGAAGGTCGTTGGATCGAATTTTTTCGGCATTGTATTCAGTAACGGTAAAAAGAAGTCTCCGGCACCGTCACTTCCAAGACTGTACGGTCGTGAGGTCCTGTGACATCGAATCTTCGCTATTTGACGGCGATTCTTCATCAGAAACAAAATTCTGATCTAAATACTGTTCGTATCCTCTCTCAATACCAGCAAGCTCATCCAGTGGTTCTGTCTTGATATTTTTAAACATAGAGTAATCTAGGTCAACAATTTCAGCTCAGTGACTAAATTCTTAGCATTCTGCGGGTCATGCAAGTACATTTTGCAAATTCTATGGAGGTCGTCCCAAGGCAGGTATCAACTGAGTACTTGATACCTCGGGTTCGATAGACATACCACCAGATCGTCGCATAACGGCTCAGATATTCCTAAAACGGGATTCTGGAGTGCTTCGTGCAGGGTCATGTTGATCTTGCAATTCTACGCTAGGTTTACACATCCAATCTCCGCATTCTCTGAACATATCCAGGTTATTTCGTCGTTGGTAGAGCGGGTGGGTGCAAACGGCATTTCCAATCTTCCTCAGCTGTGGTAACCTGTAATTTTTATTAGAATCGTACCATGCATGCCACTGTAATGTTTGGTATTGTACGGGATACGCTTACAAAGGATCACAAGTAGTACGCACTTTTATTTCAAATGTCAAAGTGGTCTATTAAGCAGTAATTGTAACAGTTTAAATAACAGTCCTTTGGCAAAACGTTCAGGTTGACGTTTCCGGACCGAAGGTCATTTCCATGACATATACAGGTAGATCAGAATACAAATAGATACATTACATTATTATTGACAAAAACCAAATACAGAGCGCGTTTCATATTGCCGGGCAGCAACCCAGTTGCATGCAATGCACTCTCCCATTTTGCTTCCGTTTCGACAGAATGACTAAGGAAACGTTTAGCTTTATTGGAGCCAGATGTTCAAGTAGTCCCAACAGTTTCAAAATGGACGTGAGGGTCGTTAAAGACCTAGAATTATCAGACACCCTTCAACGAGACGTGTAACTTCATAAAACAATTGCCGACGAGCCAACAATATTCAAATTTACATCTCACAAAAACACCGCTAATAAAAAATATAGACCTGTTTATTTACATTAGGATGTTTGGAGACCATCTCCTCGGTAATTTGCAATGTTGCATGTCCTCAATAAGGCTAGTAAATCCCAGAAAGTGCTTTCTATCTATACAAGGGCGTACCCAGGAGCAGCTGCCTCCCTTACCTATAGCTCGGCAAAAAGTTAAATGGCAAGAACATTTTTACAAAAATTAAATTATACATTCAGAGTTTTCCACAAGCTGAATCAATATCTATGAGTTGAGAAATGACTAGGATTAGTTGAAATCTATGCTATATATAAAGACATCCACAACCCATCTGCCACAAAGTCAGTCCTTCTCCATCAGAACCTACAGTCATAGATCCTCAAAAACTCCGTCGACTACAGGGCACCTTATCATGGAAACAACGAAGATGCGGCGATGCAGCAAATCCACCAGAATCGGACATGACATTTGATCTTTTTATGGCTCACAATGCTAATGGCCATTCGATTTCTGGTATGTTGTCACAGTCCTAGACGGCTACCTCCTGGAAGGAGTGTGGATTGTTATTCTTAAGAACTCCTACTGCAAGAAAGGGCAGTCGTGCCGATATCGAGATCCACCGCCAATAAGATCATTCCGGGATGGAATGACTTTACCGAGGGGGCAGTGTGACGATAATAGATAGTACTGTTGGCGCCATCTATTAGGAGACTCTCCTTCCCGTACCAGTGACTCGCCTTCTAGATCTACGCCAGGTGACCTCAAATATTCTAGATGCCGCTTTGTCGCTCGCCATACCTCTCTCGAAGCAGCGATTCGGAGTATATATAACTCGACGGCCGGGAGATGGAAGCACGGTGCGGGGTACATTAGAGTAGAGCGGAGTGGAGTGCAATCAATGGCGCGGCATAAGAATTAGTTAGACATAAATAGTGGTGTACATAAATGTTCTATCTGGTCAAGTAAAGTAAAGAAGTGCATTTATTTTTGTGGAATCTCGAGTTTTAATCCACACCCAAAAGAACCCAGAAAAACACCACATTATATTCTGCGGTACAAGGGATTATATATTGAATGTATTTCGAATAAAAGACCATCCGCCTTTTGATGCACCAGGTAAGTATTCTAGAAATATAAGTTAACGAATGCAACAAATTCTTCAAAAGGCAACCCTAGCTTAAACTCATACAGATGTCACTCTTTATTGACAAAGTTTAATTCTGGCAAATCAATATTCTCGTCTACAGCTTAGACTATGTGTGTGGTGTGGACATGTAATTATATTTTTCAATACAATACATCTGGTAGTAACAAACAGCATGTGACCACAAAGAATACTGCAAAGCTTGATCGTGAGACTGAAGAACTGAAACACGAAACCATTCCATTGGACGTTGGCAAGTTGATTCAGCAAGGGCGTCAAGCTAAAGGACTCAGACAGAAGGATCTTGCTACAAAAATCAATGAGAAACCACAGGTGATTACTGATGAACGGATTGCGAGCAAGAGGGTCAGCGTGTCGCGCGCGCCAGAAGGGCTACATATTTTAAGTTTAATTAAGATTCCCTATTTCCAATAAGTTTATATCTATAGGGGTTCAGTGAATACAGTGTCTCGCAACTTAATCGTGGTATTATTGTCTCAGCCGTTACCTTACCCTTGATGGTAGAGAGTCTCCCCAGAAACAGCTGAGTCAAGTCGGGATTATACACTTGTTGCCTCTTGGCCTACTGAGGCAAAAAAATGATTCCACCTGACAACGAACATGTGTTCCACAAAGACAACAAAACATGACGAGATAATAAATATCCATACGAGCTTGCCAGGTAAAATAGACCTTTGGAAGCTTACGGTCAAGAACAATATACAAAATTTCTTTGTATTGATGAACATTGGTCAGAAAATATCAAATTTAGTGCACCTGCATAAATTAATTTTCACTGGTTTGTAGTATTTGCAGATCTGAGAGCAAGTGTGGTGGAACGGCCATCTTTGCCCATGAGTCTGTCATCTCCGAGGTCTGTCCTATCCATATTATCAACGAGCTGACGAGCTCTCTTTGGAATTTGTGATTGAATTTTCTCCAGTTAAAATTCAACGTTTTGTCTGTATATATATATATATATATATATATATATAACTTGAGACGTGGTCATTGTCGTCTAGACCAGTTAGGTGAAAAATTAAAGCTTCCGCCTTTTGTTGGGTACTTCGAGAAAATTTAAGCAAAGAGGACTCTTTATACTTGTTTTAATTCTTTCTAGCTTTCAATGGACTTTGCCATCATCATCAGTAACTGCAATTACAATGATAACAGTGGCAACAAAAGCGTAAAATGAATTTAAATTGAATCAACTTACAGTAGTATGTGAGGATGTTGCTAATTGTTGTTTTCGTATAGGATGAGGGAAACGTCCAGTAACATGGTGAGAGCTGGATACATGGTGCAATGGTTAAAATTATATAAAATATGACAAGACAGTTAAAGACAGATTAAAAATTATTTAGAAAACATTAGAGCATTACGTCGTGAAGCCATTTGATGATTGCACAAAATGGTGGTCATGGAATAATGAGTGAGATGAACCAACAATTAGCAACATCCTCACATACTACTGTAAGTTGATTCAATTTAAATTCATTTTACACTTTTGTTGCTACTGTTATCATTGTAATTACAGCTCCTGATGATGATGGCAAAGTCCATTGAAAGCTAGAGGGAATTAAAAAGGTATAGAGAGTCCTCTTTGCTTAAATTTTGTCGAAGTACCCAACAAAAGGCGGAAGCTTTAATTTTTCACCTATATATAATATACCTGATGCAGGTAATTTTGAACTTTTTTAAGTCTAGCAGTTCTGAAGATGAGGAGATACTGCATGTGGAGAAAGAGATTTGGAGGAGACTTGGAGACATCCGAGTCACTTTCTAGGATATCTGGAGACCTGGAGCCTTTGGATGGACAAGCCACTTCAGCACGTGAAGCAACCAAAGAAGGTTCGGACACCAGGATAAACCCGCTACCAAACATAAGAGACACAAGGAAGCTTCACGGGAAACGTCTAAGAGCCGATCGCCTACTGCGTCCTGCTGTAAACGATTTGCTAACTTTGAAGGGCAAGTCAGTCAAATATTGAAGAATTCTGTTTCTAGTTTCTTAGGGAGCATGATGGACTTAACGATCGGCACGTTAACATTGAACTTAATAGATTTTTCGATTCTTTCTGCTTCTGTTTTCAGACATGCTTTCCACTATTATCCAGAATCAGAAAATCAAGGAAAAAAATGCCCGATATAAAGAAGAAGAGAAGGTCATACTTGGTGTCGAGGATCGAACTTGAACGAGATGAGGAAGCACATAAAAATTCTACCAAACGTAAGAGGGAGGAGTAGACGATATCCGTTGAAAAGAATGGTGGATAGTCACGAATAATTAAAGATCTGCTGGAGAAGGTTGTAGACAAAAAATCTGTGCTTCAGGTGCAAGTAAACAAAAAAATATCAGGGTGCAAGGCATTTTAAAAAGAGGTCTGAAAAAGACCTAGCGTTCCAAATAACCACGATCTTGGAAATAACCTCGGACGATCACGATGCTATTGCAGAAATTGCGACAAAGCAATGGACTGAGTCAACCTACAGGAGGACCAAGTGATTGATAGGAAACCCTCTGTGGGAAAGTACGGACTGCAGTGATCTGGTGCTGTGCATAGAGGCTGGACAGAGCACAGCAGGGTTTTCCTACCTCAAATAGAATAGACCAAAAAAGCTACTTCTATAAGGTAAAACTGCTACCAAATATAAGGAAGGGAAAAGGAACACTGAAGCTGTAATTGTGTCTCCCAAGATATATCCTCTGCTGATCTCCTGAGGAAACCTAAACACGAGGCTAAGTTTGACGAACTCAGAATAAGTGGATAATGTTAGATCAAATGGAAAGATAAAGATTCCAACCTAGCTATTCAGTATTGCAAAAAGAGAATACCTGTCAAGAAAATAACTAAAGCTAGAGGGTACAAGGGGCTACACTTACCTGGTGTAAATATCTACTAGTGCTACTTTTCGCCATATAGCCCATACAAGGAATTTGAAGACTACCTCGAAATACTTTGGAGACATTTTCTAGAAGCTTCATGCTTGGAGGTACCCAGGTCGTCTCTTCTAACTCACTAGCCTACCTAGGAGTTACCATAGACAAAGTGAGGTCATTCAGGCAGCATATACACCGGGTAACCATCAAGGCAAACAAAGTTTCGGCCAAGCTTGCACGAATCATGTCCAACACACATGGTCCAAGCAGTGAGTGCCGCAAGGTGTTATACAGGGTAGTGCAGCCAATCATCCTGTAGCCAGGGCGTTTACGATGCTTTTTCAGAAATCGCGGGGATTTGGCTAAAGAGGTACGGCGCTCAGCTATTGCGGTACCCACTCCCGACTTTGCTAGAAAGGAGAGGATCAAAAAGTCCCTTGAATTCGTGTTCACCGGAACAAACATACAAGTTAGGCTCCAGACTCCTACCGAAGACCAAGCCAAATCAGCTAATATCAAGGGAGCTGCCACCAAATACAAGGAAGGAAAAAGGTGATGGAACACTGAAATCGTAGTTTTGTCTGCAAGGATATAACCTATGCTGATCTCCCGAGGAAAGTCAAACACGCGGCTTATTTTGACGAACTCAGAGTAACAGCGAAAGGGCGGAGGAGCATACCAATTTAACAAGATAGTGGCAGGGCAACCCTACAAGTCCGCAGTATGGCAGGTCTACTAGTGAAGACAAGCGGCATCTGTACTACCTCTCCGAGGACGTATAAATCAAGTCCGTCATTTCTGGACCAAATTCGCAAAGTGGACTAGCTCTAAACGGCGCCGATGTCCGACAGCGTCCCGCCGAGGGTGTGCACGGACATCAGTACCTCTGAGGACGAGGAGGAGGTTCGACCTCAGTCATGCTCAGTAGAATTCAATCTGCGAAGAAAAGATTGAAGCATGTTCTGTGCGTCACAGATATTACAAAATTTCATTTACCGTCGTCGATAACTTTCTCAGGATGCTTATCCACCGCGAGACCAGACTCATTCGGATAGCTCTCAGAAACCCTGGGCGCTGAGGATCACCCTGCCGAAGAGGCACATGTCATTCTTAGTGGAAGACTAGCAAGACCTGAAGGACCTAATGAATTCCACCCGGACCTCCCGACTGTGACGATCATATCGGGGTAAATCTGCATATTCAATCACAATCGCTTAAGAGAATGAATATGCATGCCTTCATTTTGCTACCAGACAACTGTAAAGCAGCAGAAAAAAATTCTTGAGTTGTGGACCAGCAGTTCTGAAGATGAGGAGAAACTGTAAGTGGAGAGAGATTTTGAGGAGACTAGGAGACATCCGAGTGACTTCCTAGGATATTCATCCTTTGGATGGATAAACCACTTCCGAGCATGAAGCAACCAAAGAAGATGCCTGGGAAAACCCATCATGAGCGAGATAAACTCGCAACCAAACACATCTAAGAGACACAAGGCAGCTTCACCGGGGACGTCTAAAAGGCGATCGCCTACTGCGTCCTGCTGGAAACGATTTACTAACTTTGAAGGGGAAGTTGAAATCATATATCTCACTGGAGATGACACCGATAAAGAAGCGGAACATATAGAACGAATAAAGATGAGAAAAACTAGAAGGATATATGAAGAGAGAAAGCAGAAACTATAATAGTAAAAGATACAGGGTGCGGCAGAGAGGATGGTCGGTTTTAAAAAAATCATAAAATAGTTAATTTTTACTCGAAAACAAATTTATTGATGGAATCAAGTGTGGAAAATCACATCAGTCATGTGGTAGCCGAAACCGTTGATGCAGTGCTGGAGGCGTTCTTGGAAGTTCGCGTAGACTCTCTCCAACATCGCTCTCTCAACTTGCGCGACTACCACGCGAATTTCGCCCTTCAATTCGTCCAGAGTTCGGGGCTTGTCCGCGTATACTCTAGCCTTGAGGTGTCCCCATAAGAAAAAATCGCATATGGATAAATCTGGGGACCGAGGAGGCCAATGAACATCGCCAAACCTGGAAATAAGGCGACCAGGGAAGAGAGGGTGAATAACGTCCATGGATGCTCGGGCTGTGTGGGCGGTCGCCCCATCCTGCTGGAACCACACACGTCGGATTGGAACACGTCGCCGTCGTAATTCAGGGAGAAAGAAGTTGGTGATCATGTCGACGCAGCGCTCTGAGATCACGGTAACATCACGACCATTACCGTCTTCGAAGAAGTAAGGGCCAATGATGCAAGTTTGCGATACGATAGCCCAATAACGACAATTCTGCTGGTTAACCACGCTGTTTAGATGAAAGTGGGCTTCGTCACTCATAAACAAAATGAGGTTCTCATTTTGATCAATCAGTGCTTACATCTCACGTGCGAAGTTCATTCGTTGTGCATAATCTCCAGGCTGAAACTGTTGCACAATGGACAATTTGTAGGGGTGTGTAGGGGGAAAGCAGCAGAATATGCAAAATTCACCTTACCGAACGATAACTAAGGCGAAGTGGAGCAGCATGTTTCCGGGCAGATCGAGTCGGACTGCGAAGAAAGACCTGTCGAACGCGTTCAACATTTTCAGGAGTTCGAACTGTTCGCGGCGCTCCTCTTGGTCTTCTGTTGATCAGTTCACCACGCTTGCGAAGTAATTCAACTCAACGAAGGATGGTGTTTCGAGAGGGAACAGCTCTATTCCGATGAATGTTGAAGTGGCGACGAAACTCACGCTGTACGATGATGACTAAATCATTATTTCGGACGAAACAATCATAGGCGAAAACGCGGTTCTTCACCGTCCAAGGCTCCATAACGGCAACTGGTAAAATAATGCTAGGATCTCATGAGTCAAACGGCACCCTCCCCACCTCTCTCGGAGACGGAGGCGGAGAGTACTACCCATCCCAAAAACGTGCGTCCTCTCTGCCGCACCCTGTATGAAATGTGTCAGCGACATTCCAACTAAGAAAATGAGTAACCCCAGACCTGGAGACCGTGACCCTGCCTCAGTGGACCTAGATCTCTTCATTGATTTTCTTAGAAATAAGGAATGCACACCGCTATTGCACACAAGACTTGCAAACTCGCAAGGGGTCTTCCCGGTAATGCAAGCATATCGTGAAATGCCAATATAACTAAGGAGCTTAAAATTGTCTACGAACGAAATACCACGGATCAGCTTCGTGATACGGCTGCGAAAAAAAACAGGTAAGCGTAACCATAGGAAATCTACCAAGGTTGCCTATAACTCAGCCCGACGGTCTATTAATATGAAGAAAAGAAAAGTCTTGCGCTGCTAAACTTAGCTTTCCTGCTAAAAAGGTAGCTGAGCGTTCCCGTAAACGCATGTCTTTCACCTGATCCAACCTCAGAATGTCGAACTTATCGTTAATGTAGTGCAGGTACCTGGGGTAAAGACTCAAATCCAGACTAGTGCACTAACCAGTTAGCCAGTTACAGCGCATGTTCAGAGACTAGGCCAGCCTAGGATATCTGAGTAGAAACGAGATAATTCGAGTACATCTTCGCCAGTCACTGCTGTATCAAAAAATCATAGCCTTCGACACTGATAAACATTCTATCATCAAATCAACAAGTAGTACCAAAAATGACAGTCAACCGTCAAGAAGCCAGTCAAACACCAATATTGGATATGCCACAAGTGACATGTGAATGAGCCAGCGATCTGGCACAGCAAAAAGTCATCTGCCAAGCCACAGGATATGGCAAAGCGAGTAGTGCCTGCAATGATGGTGATGAATCCACAAGGAGTCTGTCCTAAGATTAAACTAACACCAGTAGTCGGTGCAAGGATGTAAACCCAGCTCGCCCTCCACCCAAGTAGCTGACCGAAGTATGCTACACATTCATCCCGGCTGGTTGACGTCAGAGGAATTTATCATAGGAGATGGGCTGAGACAGGGAGGAGTTCTGAGCCCGATATTATTCATTATGATTATGGATGATGTAATAAAGGCCGTCAAAAGCGAAATTAAAAAAGTACATGTCGGTTTCTAAAAAATGAGGCCAATAAATATTTCAGAGTGCTCAATCGCGGACGACCTGTTATTGTGCCCTAATACCCCAAAAGACTTACAAGATAACCTTAAAATCTGGATCCAGGAATTATCGAAGAGAGGTTTGAATATTAACGTATCTAAAACAAAACTGATGACGACAGCAGAGGGGAATGGAATAAATATAGTTATTAAGGGCGCCCGTATAGAACAAGTCGAAGCTTTCAAATATCTAGGAGTGGTAGTACAAGGCGATAGAATAGAAGAGGAATCAACGAAAGATTAATGCACGCATCTAGGCTCTATCACACAATGAATACATCTTTCTTAAGGAAGAAAATGATAAGCAGAAAAATAAAGATGACCTTGTACAGAGTAGTATTCAGACCCATATTGACATTTTTGAGCGAGAGCTGGGTATTAACGAACAGGCAAAAAAGCAAGTTACAGGGATATGAAATACCTCAGGGCAGTCAAAGGGGTCGCTAGGAAAGACAAAATTAGAAACGAAGTTATTAGAGAAGAGCTGGGAGTGGAATCTGTACTACAAAGGATTGAAGACAACCAATTAAAATGGTTTGGGCATTTAGTAAGGATGAAGGATACAAGGCCAGTAAAACTCATATGGGAAGCAAGTGTTCAACAGAAAACGGCAAGAGGGCGACCGAAAAAGACGTGGAAAGATGGATTGGCGAAAATACTCAAAAACAGGGGAATAAGTTGGAACGAAGCAGTGGGCTAAATTTGTATACATATAATAACTAATAGTTTTAGAGAATGAAATAATCTAATTGCACCTTACACCTACGGGTATATAAGGTTTTAGATAATATATATATATACTTGTCGTCCAAGATATGACGTTATGCGCTTGTTAAAGTCGACAGGTTTGCGTAATATTGCATTAATAGACCACGAGTATTTATATCTCTAATAATTTTTTAAATTCATTTTAACTTAAAATTTATTTTTATACGATTTTCTTAAATGCTGAGACTTGGTTTATTTTAAAGCAGTTTTCAACCTTGCTTGGAAGGTTATCAAGTGGGGAATTTTTGCTTTTCGATGCCGGTTCATTGGTTTGATAACATGGACGTTTGATCTATTCCGGGGGTAAAATTAACTTCAAACGTCTCTAACTTGGAGCCAAGGGTTACAAAGAAACCTCTGAAATTAGAAATGGAGTCACATATCTACCTTCCTTTTTCAGTTAGATGAACCAGCTTCCAATTCCTGAACCACATCTTTTTGGATATCCTGATGTGTTCGCGACTAAAATGATGGGTCCAGTCCAGGTTCCATATCAAGGTTTTGCTCCACGGCCAGCTCCATGACAAGGACCTTATCCTTACCCGATCCAGTTTCTACACCAACATGTTCCCATTATGCAAATACGGTCGCTCTTTTCTGTTGCCTAAGACTTTGAGGTAACTTAATTTCAAATTGGATTGTGTGATTTACGTATGTTTAATCAAAGTTTAACTTTTGGTCAGCATATAACTAGAAAAAAAACGTAAGAAGCGTTGGTTACATTAAGCTGTTATTATTTATTGCCACAGAAATTTTACATTAATAAACTCCATAAGGAGATACATAGTAAATACCTGGAGAGAGGGGGATTAATACCTCTGTGCTCAGGAGCCATAAAAAATATTATGTACTAAACTAAAATTAATATAAACAATAAAAAATTATATATAAAGTATAAAGAATTTCATAAGCATAGGGTGTTTTCAAAGTCGAGTCATTTTAACAGCTTGTAGAACTCGTCAAAAGTAGTTGATACATCAGAAATCACCTATATAAAAGTTGCATAATTAGAGAGTTAGTTCACATTATCAAAAAATGTTTAAGAAAAATCATTATCAAGTTAAATTGATACCATTTTTACAAAAAGTGTTGAAAATTGTCCCCATTTTCCCAAGCTTCGAAAATAAAATATTGGTGTCTGCGAATTAAAATCACAAGCATTTTCAGTGCGCTGTTGAAGTCCTTCCAGAGTATTTAGAGCTCCATCACGGTACACCAACTCTTTAAAATCAACCCACAGAAAAAACGCAAGGCGATAAATCCGGACAGCGAGCAGACCAAGAAATGGCTCCATTGCGTCCTATCCACCCTTCCGGAAACTCATTATTTGATCAGGAGTTACCAACCAGGGGGACGCGCCTGCCAAGGCGTTTGCATTTTAGAAAAAAAAAACAAACGACATTAACAAATAACATTACAATGTAATGACTAATTTACTCACATAAAAATAAAAATTTAATATCATATTCACTTATTCTGTCAGCCGCTGGTTTCAAAACCCGGCGTCGTCAATCGCAGTTCATGCAAGTTTGAAAAGACAATATGAAACCCGCGCGCATCCCCACCGCGCTCCACTTAACATTGATCACTTAGAAAACTATTGTTACTTTCCAAACGCGGATGAGCATAGTGACATTCATTCCCACAAACTTGTGAATAATTTGACGTTTTCGTTGTACATGTTTTGTTGAGAAATCTGTTTGAGTGTGGTCAAATTGTTCTGTCTCACAGTTAAAAGGTAAGTTTGTGTTTTTACAAACCTCAGTTACCATTTTTATTTAATTTACCAAATTGTCGATTAAGTAGAGACGCGTTCATAGATCGGCTATTGGGACTTTTTACCACATCACAATCAAACCAACGTGGCGAAATACTTTTGAAAGACGAACTTTAAGTACATCATATTGATTCCAAATGTATATGAATATTCAGGGGTTCATATCAAAGCTTCATCTTTGGAATCGAAAAGTGTCTTTGGAAAATGTTATATTTTTCTCTCGGCTGTTCGAAGCAATTAAAAATAACATACTGGGCGTAAATTTAAAAGCTGACACATTGCAAGCGCTGGAAGACGAATTTCGCCGATACTATCGAGACATCAATTCAGAGTCACCAATATGGCACATGACAAGAAATCCATTTGTTGTCAATGTGTCACAACTACCAGAAGAAGTTCAGGAAGAATTTCTAAAAATTAAGGCTGATCGTCCATGAAGGATGACTTCCATCTTTTAGCATTAGAGAAATTTTGGATCAAAAGATGCCTGTTAATTCGACACTTGCCTCTCTGCTTTACGAATATTAAAACTAAACGGCGAAATCGTCTTGATGTCGATAGCAACCTGATGATAGCTCTGGCAAAAACAGAACCTAGAATCAACCAACTGGTACAGAACATGCAACTCAATGTCTGATTAGTACCTACTCTTATTTTATTCCTTATTAGAATTAAAATAAAAATCTTTGTATCGATATAATGTACGTTTTTTTTGTATTTATTGAAATAGTAAAGGGGCATGAAAATATATTTTATAGTCCGGAGAGCTTCAGCAAAAAAATGAAAAGGCTATGTTGAAAATTCTTTTTACAGCATGCGGATTTATGCTGCCCAAACATGATTCTTATGTGGCATCATCAGTGCCTCTATTCTTGATTTTAATAGAAAATCACACTCTCCCTCTTTTCTACTCCCGCGGTATTCTATCGATTTGAAAATACTGTATTCTTGAAAGGACTCGATAGAAAGGAGAAAGGAAATCAAGACACAGGGTTTTCAGATTTGGGTAAACGTGTTAAACCAATCAAAAGGGAGATATTTTTTGACAGTAAAAAAACTAACCAAAGATTTTGGTCATGATTTCCTCCTTATAATTTTATCTACGGAGCCGAAACTTTAAAAAAACACATTTCAAATGAACAAAAGGACAAAATGATTGAATTTCTCGGGAACACCTGGGAAAATTCAATCATAGGTTAAAAGATACTGTTTTAGGATGACTAAAACTTAATATCTACTCATCTACTCTTGTCTTTGTTGTGATCGAAGCTCATGGAGTGGTTATATGAATGGAGTCAATATCTCCAGCAATTCATACACCAAATCTTTGGTCAAGCTAAACATATGTACACATTTTCGATCCGAAATTATGAAAGGATCTCGGCGCCCAAGAATAGCTCTCCCAATCTCTCAGTTCTCACATCCTCGTTAATAATATCGTTCCAATACATCAATTGATTGAAATTAACCAATATGTTTAGCAGGAACGATAATAACAATGCCAAATACACTTCAATTTTTAGGTTATATGGCGCTATTTTCTACTAATTTTTCAGGTTTCTCTTGGTCGGTACCAAGAGAAATCGCGACTCCCCTAAAGTGAATTCATTCTATCACTTTCCGGTAGAATTTATTTCAAGAATACTGCATTTCTTGGCCACACCTACTTTTGACACTTTCTCTCACAATTTCTACTCCCTCAAACTCAAAATGAGGTCCTGCACACAAAAATTTTTCCTAAAATTTTAATTCTTGACGAATTGTTCGAAAAGCCACGGGCAAAATGCAACTTTTCTAGGATGATTTTCAGGTTGTAACGCTTGTACCCGTTAATAATGATAAGGATAACACTGTTATTATGGCTACTTTTATGGGTGGGTGATTTTTGTCCTACAAGTAGCTAAAATAATTTAAACAACTTTGAAAACCCTGTATAGTAATAATATAATAGAATAAGCTGTTATATAATGCATATGTTTATTCAGAAGTTGATATTGTGGTATTATCTCATACCCTTACTATGAATGGTATAAACACAGCTATTGAAACAGTAGAGCGGATAGCGGATGTTTTCAAAATTTGTTTTGTTCAGGATTGGCATAACAATCCAGCGCGAGGTGCAATCAATAGGAACTGTGTAGTCGTTTGAACAAAGTAGTGGCTGTGTGTCATTATTATTTGCTTACTATGGTAACTGTTCAATAATTTAATTTATTGCTCTACAATCCTAAGATAATTAAAGTTAATAAAATCCAAATGCTGAAAATTTTCGAGGAGTCCTTTGAAATTAGAATTAAAGAATCAACATACCTACCTTCCTTTTTCAGTAAGTGAACCAGATTCAAATTCCTGAACCACATC